AAATTTTTGTTTTTTGGCTCAACACCTTTCATGCCCATTAAAGAACTCATTTCTGTGTGGATTTTTCTGAAAAACGTTGATGAAAGGCACATGTAAATTTTCAGTTACCACAGACTCTTCTTAAGCTAAGGAAAAAACTAATCTTTGGCGTCCATTTTCTCACTAATTTTACCTCTAAAAACAGGTGACCCCCACCTCCTTCATTCACAAATATCTCGACTTGTATTCAAGATAAATGGATATTTTTTTCAACCAAATAAAGACAAGTCAAGTGAACAAGCTTTAAGATGATACCAATAACTCTACATGCCCAAAATTTGACGAGAGCCTGATTCCACCACGCTGCCTCGCATATATACAGACACTGGTGACTACACCAGCAACTCCGAACTGTTCTCTGGGACAGAAGGAAAAAAACCTATAGAGACGATATTTGAAACAGTCTGCCATTTCCTGTTCCTGTAAAACAAACCAGCAGCCCCACCTTGACCTGGATGTTGCCCACTAAGGGGTTATACTTTACTTTTACCCTTTTATCTACCGGCTAATTTGTTTGTTCAAATAAAGAGAAATAAATCGACATCATTTTTTTAAAAAGTCATCTAAAGCAGAAAAACAGTACAGCAAACAGACAGTAACAAAAAAGGAAAAGAAAAGAAGTATACTACCAGTTGCATCCTACAAACTACCAACTATGTTCTGCCGTTGTTATGTGAAGAGCCTCCAGAAACTATCACAACTCTATCTTACAACAGAAGAAGGGCTCTTGAAGAATAGAACAAGATTATCTACACCAGAAGAAGGGCTCTTGAAGAATAGAGCGGCAACTGCTACCTTTCTTGTCCACCTTCGTTTGTTTTGAGTCAAAACAAACACTTGACACAAAATAAAAGTCATTTAGAGCATGGGAAAACCAAGACAGACAGAGAGACAGACAGACAGACAGACTGACCAACAGACAGTTGCAAGATTCTTGTCCATCCAGAGGAGAGAAACTACATCAAGTCGACAGTGAAACGTAAACCTTCACACACTGTGGTCATCGGCATCACCATAGCAACAGATGTCACAACTCATCCTGAGACCGGAGACATTCCAACCACCCTGACCCATCTTTACAGATACCACCACATATGATATGGTCCAAACCACAACGCATGGTATGGTCAAAACCATCAAATATGGAAACGTTGACGTCGTGCCACATATGTGGTAAGATGACCACCGATACTACCACATATATCGTATCGTCCATACCATCACTCATGATGGTACTTACCGACAGTACAACCTTTTGATACGGTTAACACCAGACACATATCGTCAGTATGCTGTTAAAATGCATTAAGCTAAAAAAAGCAGAGTTTTACAGGAGAGAAAAAAAAACCAGTTTCATTCCTTGAACAGTTGTATACAGAATTCTGTATTTTTCTTGCTTTTTATTTCCACATTTAGAAATTGAATTTTGACCAAAAATTTCTTGAGCACACTGTAACCAATACCAGAGATTAAGAAATGGCAACAAAAAATGTTTCAAAATTTGAGCTTAGCACATTTCAACAGCTGTCCAACAATATGTCACTTACTGATGATACTACCATCATACAGCCAATACTACCATGTATGGTACAGGCAATACCATCTCATATTGTTACTGGAGATACTACCCCATACGGTAGAGTTGATACCATAACATATGTACAATTCATTCTACCATATGTGGTAGAGTTGGCAGGGGAAATGAACAGTATCTAGGGAGTATCGGAGAAAGTATCAGACGCACAGAGATATAATCGCGACGGATGAGGGAGGAGTATCACACACTGTCTGAACTCATCCTGCGATAGAAAAGGAGGTAAGCATTCTGCCGGATCTCCTCGGTGCCCAACTGGTACTCCATGTTGACCTCGCGGACATCCTGGTCGTCCATCCGGTACCACTTCCCCGCGTCCAGGGTGTAGCTGACATAGTGACCATGGGACAGACTGTTGGCCCCCAGGTGGAGGCACAAGCCGTACAGCTCGTAAACATGGCCGCCGGACTGGGCCGTGAGGTCGCTGCGCTGGGTCACCGTGTCGTAGATAACGTCCCGGAGGTTGAAGCTCCGAAGTCGGATGCTGACGGATGTGTTGACTTTTGTGGGTGTTTTTGTGACCTGGTCGAAGCGGAAACGCATCAACTGGATGATGAGACATTCTGGGAGTTGTCGCAGCAAGCACCGCCGCTGGAGTCTGCTGGTGGGGTGAGCGGGGACGCCACATGAGGCCTCGCTCCCTCCTGCTCCGATTGGAGTCGACGTTCTGAAGGTGGCTGCGGTAGTCGTTGTTATGTCTGAGAGTCGCTCATTGAGGTGTTGCTGCTGTTGTTGCCCCAGCGACAACGTAACAACCGGAGAGAAGGGAATGTTAAGAGGATGGGGGAGGCTGGAGGGTGCGTTGTAGCCCGCGACCGATGGGGAGACAGCCTGGTGGATGATGGGAGACGGCTCCTGCTGATGCTGCAACAAGCGGAGCGACTTTCTGGTCACCGGTGTTCCCGAGCTACCCCCCAACCCTCCGAGCACCCCACCCACATTCCTCCTACGCGGCATATTCGAGATATTCACCAAAGGCGGCGAACCGGCCGAATTCACGTCACCTTGCTCCATACTGCCAGCTGCCATAGAGGCAGGCTGCGCCATGACCTCACAGAGGTTCTCGATGTTACAGAAGGTGGTGAAGCAGTCCTCCAGCATGACCAGACCCGAGGCTTGCCGCGGCGCTGACATGGGCACAGGCAGCACGTTAAACGTCTGCAGATTGACTGAGATGTGCCCCGCCCCCAGGCTGTGGTAGGCCTCCACCAGCTGGCCTGTGAATAGTCCGTCCACCACTGTGTCGTTTGACTGTTTGTGTGTCAGCCACTCCAGGTCTGACAGTCGTTGGATGGCCTCTGCGTACGATTCGTTCTCCAGTCCGTTCGCCACCGCAATCTCAAAGACAAAGATTGGAGAAAAAGAATTTAAAAAGAAATTAAGAAATTCCACATTTATTGAATCTCACCGGGAAATTTTGTTATAATGATGGCATACATGCAATATCGTCTGTTTGTTTCAATGAGTAGAAGCACACCGACAAATCACAAATTAAAGGTCATTTAGTGCTGAGAAAAAACAAGACAGATAAGACCCCTTTTCCTTGTTACGTAAATTCAACAGAGGTGATTTCGCTTGTCCAAGCAAATTTAGGACCTTTAAAACTAAAACAGAAAATCATTCAAAATACATTATTTCTGACTAAATCATTCCAAATTCTGTTTCAAATAAATGTCTACATGAATGTCCTATAGTAGCAGCCGGTTAAATTACAAACACTAATGGAGCAGAAACAGGAAAGATTCAAAGAATTTTTTAAAATCCATATCAATAGAAATGTATATTATCACCTCAAACAGGGAACTCCAAAGGGCAGTACAAATGTGTTCAGAGACTGCTCAACTAAATCATTACACCAACAGCAAAAAGCACCAACTAATATGGATGTACTAAACAACACATGTGAAGCTGACGTATCGTTACAAATTATAGTAATTTATACCCGTCTTCTTGACCAACCAACTCGAGTCAGTAAACTATACTGCTCATTTTTCACCGACTTCTATAAAGTGACTACAATTGCTAAATGTCTGACTTGTCTCAAATAGAAAAAAAGGGACATTAAATACATTATAACATTAACGACACAACTTGTCACATATCCTCACAAACCAATACAAAAGTCTTTTCTAGGTCACATTTTTTGTTGTTTTTTTGTTTGGCGAAAACTTTTTAAAAAACGCCAAAAAAAAAAACAGAGTTCATCTCCCTCAACCTCACGAATCCGAGCAACAGTGACATTGTCTCAACAAGTTATTTTTCAGTAAACTAGAAGTACAAGTATCGAAACTGTGTTATAACATACTGAGGATACAAAAGAAAGAAACAAACCAGCAGAGGCTAATATACCATACACCAACGACTAGAACCCAGAGGGAACATTTTTAAAAACCCCAAAACAACAAGACAAAACTGTGTTTTAACCATGATGATCTGAGACTACCCTCTAACAAGTCACAAGGACCCAGCTGGACACACACATTATTATATAATTATGTACTTATACATGATGTATTCACCTCTCTCCTGCACTGATCTTTCAGCTCCTTGATGCGATGGGCATTGAGATCTCCATAGATCAGCTTGAGTTTTGCCAACCACGGGCTTGAGAATCTGTCTTCATTCGACAGGTTGGACGGATCTAGGACAGAAAATGAAAACTTTTGTGACTATGAGGCAGAGGAAGATCATACTACTACCCACATTGATGAACTGATTACAATCAAGAACCTGTCACATATATATGCATTTAATTATACTTTCATTTAGTTTTAGTAATAATTGTTTTACGGCACTTGAAACATGATAGGGTCATTTATAAGTGCCGAAGACTAGAGGGGTTACAAGAGAGTAACAAACACAATAAAGGAGGAGAGATTTAAGTTTAAGACAATAGATGTTTGAAAGGAAAGAAGAAGCAAACCCCACCAGAGCACCCGCCAACCACCCATATACTTCTATTGGAGAAGAAAAAGGTACAACTTATCATGTTCAATACTATATCTAGAATCAACTCATTCAATTTGAAAAGGTATCAATGCATAAATAGCTGTGCACACTAATCTACTTCATGCTAACCTTTTAGATTACAGTCGAACTTGCATTAAAGCGGTCACCTGAACTAACCGCCACTGTTTCGAGACACCCATACGGTTTTCCTCCGATATTTTTTACCTGATCATAGCAAAGAAGCAACTGGGCTTATCATTTGGCTAGGAACAAATACTAAACAAGTGGGGGCAGGACTTAATGCAGCATTGACCCAATGACATGCAAGTGTCCACTGAAGTAAGCACAATACCAACGCCCATACCTTATGGGGACAGCAAGTAATAACGGTTATCACACTGCTGCAATTATAGGCACTGAGGGTTTATGTACCACAAGAGAATTCAGTTTCATATGCAAAGTAAGTCGACCATAAAGACTCTGACCATAGCAACCACCTGTCTCTGTCTATTTCGGTCACATTTCTCCACGTTGGATGATTTACATGACCATTATGAACAGGTTTGATTTTATTCACAAAACTTTTAGTTTAAGGTTGCACAGAACTGGCTGGCAACAAACAATTTTTTAATGATGTGACCTCATAGCGTGAAAAAAATAATGAAAGAGTTAGGATGGGGGGGGGGATCCGTTTGTTCAGCAATAATATTGGTATCATTCTGGACTACAACCTGGACTTTGACAAGGAAAGAAAAAATCAAAATAGTTGCGTTAGAGATGTGGTGTCACCGTAGAATGACCAGAATAAGTTGGAAAACAAAAAAGGCAAACAATGAGGTATGTCAGATTCTACAAACAAGGCAGACTTTGCTGAGCAAGATAAAATGTAGAAAAATACAATACTATGGCCATTTAAAAAGAAACGAGACCATTGTGAAAGAGGTGCTTGAAGAAAAGATGAGAGGCAAGAGAGCCAGAGGAAGGCAAAGAATAAAATAGATGGACAACATAAGAACATGGACTGGCCTGGATATACCAGAATGTGCAACGGCAGCTCGCGACCGTGAAGGATGGAGGGTCATTACACGTCAACCTCTGAGTCAGAGATGACACCTCCAGGTATCCAGGTACTGGACTACAGAGCGAATGGCCCTGGTTCCAATTCCAGCATTGTCGTCTTTTAACACGGATCATTTTGTGGAGTTATTCGGGCTTTCAACCCAGTTGGCTCTGTTCTGTTGGAGACGGACGTTAACTTCGTAGGTCCTGACTCTCAAATGTTAATCTCATAGAGTAAAATTATCTAATAGTGTTGATAGGAGCGTTAAACCCTTATGCTAACCCTTTTTGTTTTCGTTTTAAGAGCTGAAAGCTAGTAGTAATAAGTCTGC